AATGAAAATACCAGCAAACATCTTCATTAAGTTAGACAAGTTGGTATTAAAGTTCACATGAAAAAAAATAAACATGAAGCAAAAGTCAGGAAAACACCAAAAAAGGAAGCCCATGGCGGAGAGAGGAGAGTAGCCCTACCATATTAAATAACTATAAAGCTCCTATAATTAAAATAGCGTGATGCTAGTGTAAGAACAGACAAATAGACCAGTGGGCTAAAACAGAAAGCTCAGAAGTAGACACAAGTTCATATGGAATTTTAATATGTGATAAGGATGGCATCTCAAATCACTGGTACAAAAATGGACTTTATAATAAATGGTGCTTTAATAACTGGGCATTCACTGGGAAAAAGATCAATTAGATCTGTAACTTACACCATACACACAAAAACTCCAAATGGATAAGAAATATAAATGGAAAAAAATAAAACCATTCCAGAAAGCATAGGGGAATTCCTTTTCAGCCTTGGTATGGGCAAGGCTTTCTATGACTCAAAATCCAGAAACAATGAAAAAAATTGACAAATCTGACTACATAAAAATTGTTTTAAATTGCATGACAAAAAAATAAAGGCAAAGGCAACTGACAAACTGGGAGGAAATATTTGAAACATATGCCACAAAATGCTAATAGCCCTACACATGACAAATTCTTAAAAATTGAGGGACAAAAGACATGAACATCATTCATAGAAAATAGGTATAAAAATCTTCAAACTCATTCATAATTAGAGAAATAATATTAAAATAATACTGTGATATGTTGTACCTCTTAGATTAGAAAAAAATTTAAAAAGCATGAGGATGCAATCTGTTGATGAGCCTATGGGGAAAAAGCACGTTCATACAATGTTAGTGTTAATGAAAACTGGTACAGCCTTCTGGAGGAAAGTCTGGCAGTACCTAATAACACCACATACGCTCTTACCTTTTGACCCAGTAATCTCATTTCTAGGAATCTACCCTGCAGATACACCTCTGACAACATGCAAAACAAAAAAAAATGTAGGCCTAAGGTTTGTCATTGTGGCTTTGTTTGTAATTGCAAAAAGTTGGAAACAACCAAAATTCTCATATATAGAATGGTTGAATAAACTATGGGACATTCATACAATGGAATAATAAGCAGCAGTAAAAAAAAAAAAAAAAAAGAATATGGAAGAGCTATGTGACTTTTTTTTTAAAAAAGCAAAGTTCAAAAGAATATCTATAGTGCTACACTCAAAGTAACAAAAATGTAAGAAAATACACATATCTGCTCATTTGTACAAATGTAAAAGAAATGTAGGAAGAATAAACCAGAAGCTTACAAAATTGGTTACCTAGCAGAGGCAGGTGGGAACAGAGTGGAAAGAATGGGAGAATAAGAACAGGGATGAGTGAGGAAGTCCTACTTCTCTGAGGATACCTTTTTACATAATTCTGGTTCTTAAAATCATCTTAAAATCATGATTAATTTTATGTGTCAACTTGACTGGCCAAGGGATCCTAGATTAAACATTATTTCTGGGTGAGGATGTTTCTAGATGACATTAACATTTGAACTGGTGGACTTAGTAAAGTAGATTACCCTCTCCAGTGTGGGTGGGCATCATCCAATCTATTGAGGCCCTAAATAGAACAACAGACAGAGGGAAGAAAAACTCACCCTCTTTTTCCTACTTCACTGCTGAGCTGGGACATCTCTTCTCATTTTCTTCTGCCCTCCAGCTGAGATTAAAACTAACAGCTCCACCCTATGACCCAGCAATTGCACTACTGGGTATTTACCCCAAACATACAAATATAGTGATCTGAAGGGGCATGTGCACCCCAATGTTTACAGCAGCAATGTCCACAATAGCCAAACTATGGAGAGAGCCAAGATGTCCATCGACAGATGACTGGATAAAGAAGATATGGTGTGTGTGTGTGTGTGTGTGTGTGTGTGTGTGTAAAATGGAATATTATGCAGCCATCAAAAAATGAAATCTTGCCATTTGCAATGACGTGGATGGAACTTATGCTAAGCAAAATAAGTCAATCAGAGAAAGACAAGTGTCATATGATCTCACTGATATGAGGAATTTGAGAAACAAGACAGAGGATCAGAGGAGAAGGGAGGGAAAAATGAAACAAGATGAAACCAGAGAGGGAGACAAACCATAAGAGACTCTTAATCTCAGGAAACATACTGAGGGTTGCTGGAG